GCATGAAAGGATTTTGTGAAGATGTCTGCAAGCTGATCAGAAGATGAGACAGAAATCAATCGAAGGGTGCCACAAGTCAAATGAGTATGAGTAGTAAACAGTTTTACTACCTCTATAGGACTTACAACTGGTACCACTCACCCTCATCGGAACCCTAAAACTGGAGCCAAATAGAACTAAAAAGGATATGAGTAAGCACAATAAACAATCACTCTATCCCCTCTGGTTATGATACCAAGGAGGAGGCAGGATTGAAAGGGATAGAGAATAGATCAAACAAGATAAGTATTTCTTACTTACGTTTCTACTTTACACTTTAATGATGTCTTGCTTGAAAAATAAAATATCATCAAAGTAGGGATAAACTGTAGATGCTCAAATTTTGTCCTTAAAAGGACTCAGTGATGACAAACATTTTTTTGTGATAAAATGAGTTTGAGATATTCGATGAATTTGATTCTTAGACCGATGATCCGAGTTTAAGAAATGTAACCCATCGGGCCATTTACGTTTTCAAGGTTTGCATCGAAATAAGGCCCGAAAATGTGTCTCCAGTGCGCTCGTGGCACATCTCGATGCACTAACGTATTTTGCATGCCACCCGGGCTATTTTCATGAAAACCGGACGGCCCATTTTTAGGACCCACTAGTGGTGCTTGCCACCTAAGCCCTAAAATGGCAACACCCTCCCATTTGCCTATAAATAGAGGCATGGGAAATGGGTTGGAGGGAGGATTTTTTTTTTTTTTGTTACTAGCCAAACTCTTGCAATTTTGATTCACAAAACCCCTTAATCCAAATCCTTAGTAAGTGCTATTGATTTGGCATTAAAGGAGACTTTATACAAAGAAATCCAGTGGTTTGGCAATCAATCTTTCCCAAAATAAAAATCAATCAAACAAAACTCAAATTATTGGTTAAAGAATAAGGTTCTTGGAGTGTTTCATACCATTTTTGAGCTAATCTCAAGTTTTTCTTCAAAACTAGGTAAATTGAGAGTCTAAACCATTTCTTCTCTTCTTTTCCCTTTTATTTTAGTGTTAAATCACCTTTTTTAAGCTTGATTGTGAGGGAAACCTATGATCAACCAAAAGTGGGGTATTCTGGGCATTAATGACGCAAGCCATAGTGCTGTGGAGCAAGCCACAGTGCTGTGGCACACGCCACAGTGCTGTGGCACACGCCACTTCTCCCTAGAACCCTCTAAATGCATGTTTCTAAGTTCTCTGATCAGGGCAAGATCTGTGCGCTACTACGTGTGGTGTGTGCCACTTCCAATGGCGCAAGGACCTTCATTTTGGAGTCTCAATAACACAAAATCAATAATCATGCTTTGATTCTGAGACCAAATCGAGTTTAGCCTTAGGCATCCTTGCTTAAAGAGTGTATAAAACTCATTTTTTATTCAGATGAGTAAATAAAAAATAAGAATAAGATTGAGAGCAATGGCTAGTATATTTATTCATCCTTCAAGATGAACATCAAGGCCATGAGCTTAAATCCTGTTTAACATTTTAAATTCTTGTCATTTAATTACTGTTCTTTAAATTCCAATACTTTAAATTTCAATTCTTTATTTATTATGCACTTTACTTTAATGCTCTTTAATTTATGTTAATCTAACTCATCTAACTATAATTTAGAGTTTCTTAACATTAACATTCATCATTTATGTCATTATTGAATGAATGCTTGTCTTGTGTTTCTAGGAATGATTGTTATTATTTTGTGGTTGTTGTTCTTTATGTTTGGAATAATGTTTTATTCATTATATTAAGGTCAATGTAAAGGGTCCTTAATGGGATTCCCATTATAGCTTGTTTGTAAAAGATAGATTGGGTTTGGAAATTTTGGTTTGAGGGTAGATTGTATTTTAGAAAGTGGTTTGTATTCTTTTCTCCTCCCCCTTTCTTTATATGTTTTGTTTGCAATAATTTGCTTGTTTTACATGTTTTCCAAAATTGCACAAAAGGTTTTACATCTTGATTTTTAGTTAATTGCATTATTATAATTACTGTGAATTAATGGACAACTAGGAGGCGGCTTAGCCAGGCAAAATGGGTGCCTAACACCTTCCCATTTGTACCTAACTCTTGGACTCTATCTCTGGTTTAAAACCGAATTAGTCAATTCCAAAGAATCAGCTGATTTGAGAATTTTCTCTAATAAGGGTGGCAACTCCAAGATAAAACTCTTACCAAAGTAAGAGAATCTTTTTTTTCGAGGATTAAACGGGTTTAAGTAAAAGAAAGTAATTTTTACTAAATAAAATAAATTAAGCCCGTTCGATTCGATTTTTTCCAATCTTTTATGAAAAATCTAACATCCTCAGCGTGCACTATCTCAACCATGGACCATTGGTCCGAAAACCAGAATGATTGGAAATCTTGATCCAAATTTATGTTAAAAACGGTTTATCTACTGAGCCATTAGAGGCAAAATTTGAGTGTCTACAAAATTGTATACTTGTAATAGCATTAATACAATAACATCCATAGTAATATCATGTTACAACATTATGTATTTGTGAAACGGCCATACTTTAAATTCAAACAGTGATTTCCCAAAAAGTTCATTTCTCCCTTGATAATAGAATTTAGAAATCATAACAGGAGTCAAATTTATTCGTTTCAAAGACAAAATCCAACACACATGCCCAAGAAAACAAAGCAACTTATAATAGAGGTTTCATGGCCTATTCGGCCAAACAATAGATTCAACCTATCCCAAGCTTTCTTTTTACATCCAAATTATTAAAACCTTAATTTATCATTTTGAATCATAATCAAATCCCATTTTATACAAAGGTCCTTAAGATTTCCCAAAATTCTCAAATTTTTAGTTATAGGATTTTTTCACATTTTAAGAATTCAACCAAGACTTCAAACCAAATTCAACTCCACATTCTTAGAAGCATTTTAGAAGAAGAATTATCAATTAAAAGTCAAGAAAAACACAAGCATATTCCCCTATAAGGTTTAGCCAAAAGAAGAAGTTAAGCAAGGGAATTATTTTCTCATTTTACAATCATACTACATCATCATTCAAGTATCAATTAACATAATTAATCCATCAATTAACCCAATTTCAACTCAAATCACAAGATCATTTATTTAAGCCAAAAACCCTAGAATTTCTAAAATAAGAAATTGTTAGGAAAGAGAAGAGAATGTGAGGGCAATTGTTAAAACCCAATTCCTTAGAAAGCCAATAATCCCTCAAATCAAGCCTTAGCCTTTCCTTTATCAATCTCATAAGGCTCTTCAATTTCTAACCAAGAAAATAACCATAACAACTGAAAATTCATCCAAGCAAAAACAAAAATCATGCTACTAGATGGACGAATGAAAAACCCCAATCAATTCTAAAAATCTAGCAAAATTCAAAAAATCAACTTATTTGAAAAATCTCTTTCTCTTAGACTTTTTCTAGAAAATGTGAATTTAAATCTTCAAGGTTTAGCAAAGCTTATGATTTAATCCAAGTAAATGAGGTTTATTATCTGTGTTCTTAGCAAATTTTTGAACAAATTGGAAGAGAGAAGAAGTTAGTGTATTCGGTTAAGGAGGAAGAAATGAGGAAAAAAGAGAAACAAAGTAAGAAAAGGGAAATGAAAATTGCAAATTTCAAGAAGGGGGGGGGGGGGGGCCTATAGCCTTCTTTATATACTCACTAGAGATTCATTTCTAACCAAGAAATAACGCATAACAACTGAAAATTCAATCCAAGGCAAAAAGACAAAAATCATGCGCTACTAGATGGACGAAATGAAAAACCCAATCAATTCTAAAAATTCTAGCAAATTCAAAAAATCAACTTATTGAAAAAATCTTTTTCTGACGCTTTTTCTAGAAAATGTGAATTTAAATCTTCAAGGGTTTACGCAAAGCTTATGAATTTAATCCCAAGTAAATGAAGGTATTTTTTGGATTCTTAGCAAATTTTGATTGGAAGAGAGGGATATATGATATTCGGATTAGGAGGAAGAAATGAGGAAAAAAGAGAAAACAAAGTAAGAAGGGAAATGAATATATTGGCAAATTTCAAGAAGGGGGGGGGGGGGGATATTTAGATTAACACATTGTACCATAGTTGTCTAACAAAGGCTAAGATAAACCACGCATCATTTAGATTCGAAGGGCCAGCAATTTCTTCTCTAAAAACTTTCATAGGGGGGGGGGGGGTAATTTAGATTAACAACTTGTACACTAAGTTGTCTAACCAAAGGCTAAGATAAACCACCTCATTTAGATCGAAGGGCCACAATTTCTCTCTCTAAAAACTTTCATAAATTCTATTTAACTCCTCAAAACTATTACACTAATTTAATAAAACCAATCTCTACACTTTCTAATTTCTAATAAAACCCCAAATTACTATTCATCTGTAACTTAATTAAATTTTAACCCAAAAATCATAACTAGGGGTTTACTATTTAAACTAACACGTACCGAGTCTAAATAAATTTTATAAATATTAAATAAGAAAAAATCACATTTTTGAGTTGGATAAAATACTATCTCCCTCTCAAGTGGTATTATTACAACCCAATAAGTTACTATTCATAATGCAGAATTTCAAGGGCAGTAGCTATACTCTAACACTAATACTCTCCACATTTCAAATGCAATTTATTATTTTTTTCAAATTATATTTAATCACATCAATGGCAAAATATTTAATTATTGTTATTCTAAAAGCTTTTTAGCCTTTTTTTTTTTTCCCTCTAAAATGCAAGTTCAGACTTTTGAGGTTTAATTTACTATTTATTCCTATAAAAAATTATATATTTTTAATATCTTAAAAATAAAAATAAAAAAGAAAATAAATAATAGCCGCACACAGAAGAGCATGGATAAACAACTAGTAGTGGTGTCTTAAGATGTTCTAATTATTAAACGACAGAGCCCAAAAATGTCGTCCGGATAAAAAAAACAAAAAAAACCAGAAACTGGTGGACAGAGTTCCTCCAATTAAAAAATATATAATAAAAGAAAATTGGTGGACATTATCAAACGGTCGTGAATAGCGAGTCTCGGCATTGGAGAGCAGTTTGCTTCAAACCTCCATGATCACCTGCAAAGCTTCTATTAACTTTCTATTAGAAACTCCTCTGTGCAACAGCAAGAACAGCTACAGTTATGTAAATGGAGTTGTTGCTTCTCATTGTCTGTCCCAAAAATGTGTAATACGTTGTCGTTCCTCCTCAATTGAGGATTGTCACTCGAGAAGTACGAGTAACCGCCATGATTATCATGAGAGTAATACTAAAAGGAGGAGGAAGCAGCAGCTCCTCAAGACCGAAGAAAAAAAGGGAGAAAGAAAGGTTAATTGCGAGGTGGAAGTGATATCTTGGCGGGAACGAAGAATTAAAGGCCAAATAACTGTTAATGCGGATATTCAATCCGTGTGGAATGCTCTTACCGATTACGAGCGGCTCGCTGATTTTATTCCCAATCTCATATCCAGGTACGGACTTTGTTTGGTTCACGAAATAGAGTTCAATTATTTGGAATTGAAATTTGTTTGTTTGATTAATTTGATCAGTGGGATAATTCCTTGCCCCCACCCTGGGCGGATATGGTTGGAGCAAAGAGGCTTGCAAAGGGCACTCTATTGGCATATTGAAGCTCGTGTTGTGTTGGATCTACAAGAATTTCCCATTTCAGTAACTTTCTTAATCTTAATTAGTTCCGTTTCATTTAATTTGATGTCATTATAATAACTTTCACTACTTTTCTATAACCACAAGCATAACTATTTACATGTTAATATATTATTGGAAAACAATAAGGGAACTCATACCTATGGCTTGAAGTAGGAAGAAGAGTTTAAGTACAGTTTCACCCATTTGCTTCAGGCTTCAAGTAGCATGTGTGTCACTATCGGATTGGAACATATGTTTAGCCCTGCAATTTCAGTTTAACTGCAGTATGCTTAGCCTTAGATTAGGCTACAAGTCTACAACCAATGAATCAAAGAAGGCATTATTGAAAAGTATAGTGATCGAAGAATGATTTAATCATATGGAAAAAATTAATTGAAATATTCATCAATTGCATACAATTCTAATTTTTTCGCCAATCAAAAGATGATATCAAATGTAGCATAATCTTTATTCGTTAGCATTTCACTGTAAATTTATCACACAAAATAGAAAGTTAACAGAGATAATTAACTTGTAAACTATAATTGTTGCCAGTTTGATAAGAAAAACTATTTCTTTTCTTTTACTGGACTTTTTTTTTGAAGTATGATTTGAAACAATACCAGTATTTGCCCCAGCAACAAAAAGAAACCTTTTGATTCTTTGGTGAGCATGATATCCTGCCAAAAACAATCTTTTACATTATTACTGAAATAGATAGCTTATCTGGACATCACTTATGATACATTTAAGAACATATCATAAAACTATTTAATGAAAACAAAATAGAAATAAGAATAAAAATTAAAATAGAAATATCTTTAAACATAGTTTTGTCTAAATTCTGCTGTATAACAAAGATAAATTATTTTGTAAATACAAAGCAGATGGTTTATATATATTGAATATTTGCAAAAGAAACATATCCTACTTGCATTAAAATTTAAAAATAATTAGCAAGAGAAAAAATGAATATGTAAATGTCTAAATAGTATATTGTATAATTGGATGTGCACTGCATTGGCTAAGTTTAAGAATATAGAGTGCTCAAATTCTGCATGTTCTCATTGTGGTGTTCATTTAAGAAAATTATAATTTTGCATTTCTGTGTCAAAAAATAATTTTCTAGCTATTTTGTAGTGCCAGAATCAAATTGATGCACAATTGGTGTTTAGTATCAAATCTTGCATGATTTCATATTTGTATTCCTTAGTGTTATTCTAAAATCATTCATGCCATTTGTAAACTCATATTGCATCTACATTATGAGTTGTCATTATTTCTTGATTGGACCTTCTGATGTACAAAGTGCTAACCTTGATTAGTTTTATCATCTCTTTAGCTGATCTAAACTTTTCTTTGTTTTTTCAATAGCTTTTTTTAAAGTGCATGATAGAGTTTCCCTTTGCATTTGTTAGAAGTGATCTTAATGATCTTATGTGCAATCATTCTTAAGATTCTTGCTCTTATTTACATTGGCTAATCTATCCAATTAATCAATTGTGCATTAATTTGTTTTCTATATAGATCCTTTTGCTCCATTCCAGCAGGATTAAGAATGCGTTTTCAGAAAGATCAAGAGTTGCTAAATGTTTTTTTCACTACTACTCACATGATCTGAGTTCTTTGCTTTTTATTTCTTGCAACTTTGATGTGCTCAACTTTGTGTAATGGTGCATTTTCCAGTGTACAATTTATACACATAAATACTTTCAATCTCCCCCCTCAAATTTTTTTAATTATCATCGCTTCCATCTGTTTAACAAATGCTTTTTTTTTTTTTTCTTTTCCTGAGAAGTAAATTTAATGGTTTCCGTGATTTGAGCCAATGGTCACAATCTCCATTTTTTTGGTTGACTAGTAATTTTTGGTAAGAAAACTAAAAATGCGTATTTCAAAAATCATTTTTTTATGATTAATTCGGGAATTATTTATTCTCACATGCATGTTTAAGTTTCGATTTAATTTTATTTCCTAAATAATGACTTTTGGTTTAGGCTAATAATCACGAACTGCACTTTTCGATGGTTGATGGGGACTTTAAGAAGTTTGATGGCAAATGGTCATTAACATCAGGGACAAGGTAGATACATGAATTTGGTATGAAGTTTTCATTGTTTGGCATGGAACATAAGTTTACTAGCTTAATCTCTTTATTACACATTCTATCTTACTAGCTACAATATGCTCTTCATTTCCTTATGTTTGCTGTTAGTTAGATGGCAGCTTAAGAATAGTTTCTTGATTTAGACACAAACATATAAACATATTTTTATGGTATAAAGCCAGCATGTTTTTGCATTAAAGCAAATTTATTGTACCTTAACATTTTTTGTTTATTTATGCTCTATTTTGTTATAGACGCTTCATATTATTCACATCTATACCCTTAATTTCCTTTTGATTGCTGTTATGTGGGGACTGCTTATGAACTAGTCTTCTTGATGTATATTATGTTTTATTTTCCTTACTAAAAGGAAATGGGGATGCTATTCAAACAATTTCTTTTTTTTTTTTTTTTTTTTTTAAAAGATTTCGCTTTTGATTCGCTGTTAATAGTGGGGACTGGCTTATGAACTAAGTCTTCTTGATGTAATTAATGTTTTATTTTCGCTTACTAAAAGGAAATGGGGATGCTATTCAAACACATTTCTTTTTTTTTTTTTTTTTTTTTAAAAGGAGAAAAAGTAGTCATCCATTTTTTTTTTTTTTTTTTTTTTTAAAAGGAGAAAAAGTAGTCATCCATTATGTGTATATGCTGCATTCTATTGAAGTTAAGTAATGAAACTCTGAAGCTCAGTTTTTATCTCTTAACAATTGCAATTCCAATAAAGTGGTTGAAGTTTTTTTTTTAAGTGTGGATCCAATTTTTTTGCTTTTTCCCTGTTGAAATCTTTGTGATTAAAGTAAATATTGTGTTCCCTAGTTTAGGTTTATTCCTAATTAGTGTAAAGATTGTGTTTCCTAGTTTAGGTTTATTCCTATTTAGATTACTTCCTCTATTGGAACAATTTTTTGTATATATATAGTGGAGTAGAGGTTGAAAAATATAACACAATTGAAAGAAATAAAACACATTCTTTCCTTTAATTTCTACATTCCCCTTTATGTGATGAATAAAATTTTATTCCCCAGAGTCGAAAGTTTGTGCAGCAATTTCATTACACTTGATTAGTTATGGATAGCTTGTGATGATCTTCAGCTCAAAGGCAGGGTATCACTCCCTTTTTTTTTATTTGTTTTTCTCTCTTTTACCTTATAATTTATTATAGAAGTGCAAAAGTTTTTTTCTGACATTACAATCAATTTTTTTGACTTTGTCTTCATTCCGTCGCCATTGTTTTTTTCCCAGGCCTGGAACGACACTATTATCATATGAAGTTAATGTGATTCCAAGGTTCAACTTTCCAGCTATTTTCTTGGAGAGGATTATTGGGTCAGATCTTCCTGTGAATCTACAAGCATTGGCTTGTCGAGCTGAGAGGGAATTTCAAGGAAATTTAAAATTGACAATTGCAGAAAATGGAAGATCAATGTACATATTTACTTCTCCTGGCACAGATATAGATGGTGCTTCTTGTGAGAAGGATAGATTGTTAACTCCAGATTTAAAAGAGAGTTATCTCAGCTCAAATGTTGGTCACATGGCATCATCTTCAAGTGAGTTAAATGCTAATTGGGGTGTGTTTGGAAAAGTTTGCAGACTTGATAGGCCTTGCATGGTTGATGAAGTTCATCTACGCAGATTTGATGGCCTATTGGTAACTGACTCTAAATTTCACTCATATGACTTCAGAATTAGGAAAAATGACACTTCAAGTCACAAAACCAATTGACTTATGATATTGGCTTATGAGGGAGAAGGTTGTGTTCTTTGGGTCTATGTGGACCTAGATTCCAGACCTTTTAGAATTGTCATTTCGAAGGTTATCCAACTTGATTTGAGGGCTTTTCTTAATTAGCCTGTGTTTTATGTTTCATGTTGTGGGTTGTCTTTTCAGTTATAAGAGGATTTCTTGTCCTCCAGAGTGCATGCCATTTCTTTCTTTCCCAATAATAATTAATTTCTTTTCTAAAAAAAAAATATTAGTTTCATGTTAATTGTTTCAATAAGCTTCTTTTATTGTAGCAGGTGCTGATGAAATAATTTTGGACTGTAGGAAAATGGAGGGGTTCATCGCTGTGTTGTTGCTAGCATAACTGTAAAAGCTCCCGTTCGTGAAGTCTGGAAAGTTTTGACTACTTATGAGAGTCTTCCTGAGTAAGCCTATTTTTCCCCCTTGACCTTCTAATTCAAAGTTCAAAAATTAATAAATGATTTTTCAAACAGGATGAAGTGTATGTAATTCTGCATAAAGTTGTTCTATTCTGTGAACTTGAGGCTTTGCTTTTTCTTTTTGTCTGTGATATTTTAGACTGGCTTCAGCCTGGCAGCTTTACTCAGTCCATTATTGGTTTCCAAGGGTTTGTCTTCTTAGGTGTTGCAAGTGAAGTCAAATTAATGCGTGAAAGATAGTTCTTGGAGAAGATATATGAGAAACTTGTATGCAAAAATAGGAGAAATATTTCCGTACTAGGTGGGGGTATGAAGGAACCAAAATGTACAAACTTAAATCAAGTTAAGTGTATAAAATATTTGGACCAGACGATATTAGTGCAGGAAGAACAAAATAAAGGACATCAGTAAAGCTACTTTTATGGGCTCCTTTACGATAATCATATGGAAAACCTTAACAATTTTAGTGTCATAGTGGAAGAAAGGAATGTTAATTATTCTTGGAAAATTAGAACATTAATGGTCTGAGAAGCCTTGAAAAATGATGACGACGGATGTACACGATGGTCTGGAGGAATCTCATAGAAGTGTTAAAGTGTATCAGGAAAGTAGAAATTTTGTGATTAACCATGTTTGATAAGATTCTAATATCAAGAAAACACGTCCAAGAAGTGGAAGAGGATCATCCCCAGTCTTATTTTTAGTGATAAGGAGATAGTCAAAGATGCTCAAACTGTTGAGACGATAAATTAGTGAGTCACATTATAATGAATCACACTATGAAGATTCTAGAGAGTATAATGGTGGACAACAACTTATATGCATATCAATGATCTTTAAAACCAACTAGGTTTCAGATTGATTATGGAGGCAATCTCATAAAAGTGTTGTTGCAGAAGAATGGAGAAACCAGTAATGATATCGACGTGATTTTTTATATATACAAAAAGCATGTGATAGGGTCTTGACTCTTGAGAGAGGTTCCATCGAGAAGTTGGACTGGAAATGAGTATTTTTTTATATAATGAAGGGGAAATTACAAGGGTTGCCGTGTTTGTGTGTGATATGGAAGACTTTATTGTCAAGTTAGATTATACCAAGTATTTTCCTAGGGCCATGTATTTTCTCTTTGACCATGGATGAATTGGTAAAAAATATTTAGGTTCTCCTTGGAGCATCCTTTTTGCTAATGATACTGATCTAATCTCCAAAACATGATTTGGGTTTGATAAATTGCTAGAGAGGGGGTGTATCTTAGAGTTAAGGTTTGAAAATAAGAGAATAGAAATTGAGAAATAGGCATTAAAATTTAAGCAATTGAGGGCATTGGCAAGTGGAGTTGGTTGGGTGGTGTAGAAGTGCCTTAAAGCATGTTTTATACACCTAGATCTATCGTACAAGTGGAAACGATGAGGATTTAAATCGTATAAATGGGTGAAATGGAAAAGTATGCTTAGGGAACATTTTTAAATTTATGATGTGTAGTACCATGCGTTTGGTGGTTAAGAATCAAAACTATACAGGATAAGCATGTTAGAGCAAGGACACTAAAAATAGATGCTCAAAAGTGTGGAAAGATTTAATAAAGAATGATCGATATTGATGACATTGAAAGCAGCAGCGACTAAAGAGAAGTTGAGATAAAAATTTTAGATGATTTTGGTCATTTGGATGGTAAATCAAGAAATCCTCTGGTACCAATGGTTGAGTTATAGTGATTAGTAAAGCTGCAGGAGAGAAGAAAGTGAGATGAAGATAGTTCTAGACTCTTTTTTATGTACATTGAGAATACTAGAGCGGAGAATTAACTAACACAGCACACAAAAAGAAAACAGCTTCTATAAAATGAACCTAAGGGCAAAACACTTAACTATATTTTAATGTTTGTATAGATCTAATTACAAGTTAGCAACTGTGAAACTTGGTCAGAATCATGCCTCACCATGCTTGCCTTTTTACCATAACTAAATAGTGGTTCATACAAATAATCACATACAAACTAACATACTTGTTATCTAAAACCAGTATCTAACTTACTAAGTAAGCTCTTAACAAAAGACAAAATACAATATTTCTTGAATGATTCAAGATAACTTGAGAGTTTCTAAATAAATTCTCAACACTTCTTGTTGAGAATTTTGTTTAGACACACCAAGCATCTTGTTCAAAAATTCAAATATACTCTTAGCTAATGCCTTAGTAAAATATGAGCAATTTGCGCGTGTTCTATGATGCACCAAGTGTACCTCTTGTTCATTTTTACCCTCTATTAAGAAACAAAATTTAGCATTGATATATTTAGCTCTACATCCCAAATTGGGTAGTTAATTAGCAATTGCAATGGGATATTTGTTGTCCACAAGGAGTCAATTTGACGCAGGGGAAGAATTTGAGGCAATTAACTCTCAACAATTAGGCTAGAATAGGATGATTTTGGTTGGAACAAAATAACATATTGGCTTCAAAGAAACCCTTGGAATTAAAATTCTGAATTCATAGATAAAAAACAATCCCTAAAACTAATTATTGCTGTCCTATTTATATTAGTTAGGACAAATCCTAATTCTATATTGAAAAGTATTCCTAATTAGCTAATACTCCTATATTGAATAACATTCCTATTTAGCTAAATCCTAAATAAAGAAGGAAACTGAAAATTATTTCCCGATTAATTAACATTCTTTAATTTAATTAAGAATCCTAAATAAAGAATGTTGTCCACAAGGAGTCCATTTTGAACGCAGGGGAAGAATTGGGCAATTTATCTCAACAATTAGGCTAGAATAGGAATGGATTTTTGGTTGGAACAAAATAACATATTGGCTTCAAAAGAAACCCTTGGAAATTAAAATTCTGAATTTCATAGATAAAAAACAATCCCTAAAACTAATTATTGCTGTCGCTATTTTAATATTAGTTAGGACAAATCCTAATTTCTATATTGAAAAGTATTCCTAACTTAGCTAATACTCCTACTATTGAATAATTCCTAATTTTAGCTAAATGCCTAAATAAAGAAGGAAACTGCAAATTATTTAACTGAAAATTATTTCCCGATTAATTAACATTCTTTAATTTAATTAAGAATCCTAAATAAAGAAGGAAACTAAAAGAAAACTTCTTAATTAGTCTTGGATGCTCCTGCATCACAATTTCTCTCACTGACTTCATTTTCAAACATCTAGAGCATTTCTCCATATAACCTATTGCTTCTTTAAATTCTAGCTAAAGGTTTTTGAACCAAGTGTAAAAGCATATCCAGTGGTGCTGCTCAAATCATTAGCACAACCCTCTCAATCATAAGCATATCCAGTGGTGCTGCTCAAATCATTAGCACAACCCTCTCAATCATTCTCTGCATACCTCTAAAACTCCTTCCATTTCCAATGTCTTCAAATATCATGTTCTGAGATTGCAATGTCTTTGACATGTCTCACCATTCATTTTGTTGTTCCTCTGCGAGTTCGATTAGTGTTTGCTTGAAACCAGATAGCAAGCCAGCAGTAAGCATCAAATTAGATCTTGACGGTGTGAGGCATATGAGATTGCCAATCGAGCTCCTATAGAACTAGTAATCTAGTTTACTGGCGCCATCTTCTTTAGTTAACTTTTCATCAAAAATTAGTGGAGTGGCAGCTAATTTGCAGCTTTCCATCTTGAACTTTTTTAATAATCCATTGCAATTTTTCTCATGCTAGGCACGTGTTAGTAATTAAATAATAATTCTGATACTAAACAAATAAAGAAAAGAAGGCATGCTCCTGCATTCATTTCCAACAGGAGCAGATTGATGGTGTAATTTATACTCCTAAGGTCTTGCATAACATCTTTCATAAATTGCCTCTTATGGAACAGCCATAACATCTTTCATAAATTGCCTCTTATGGAACAGCTAGTCATGATGCATGAAACTTTTAGCTATGGCAATTTCTGCATTTCGGAATGTTTCCCCGTGTCTGTTTTCCCATATAAAATACCATTTTTTTTTTTGTGTAAAATTATATTTTAAATGTCGTTTTCCCATATCGTTTCCACGTTTCGACGTTACTTCATTTCCATTTCCATGCAACATAGCAGCTTGTCTCCCTTGCCCCTCAAGGAGTGAAAAGAAAAGAATAAAGAAAATATAGGAAAAGAAGGAAAAAAAAAAAAAAGAGGTGTGATATTAGTCATTTCACAAGAGAGAAATGAAATTGGCATTTTATGTGTATTTGATGCTACACTAATGGTTCGTTTGGATACATGTGGACTTGAAATAATGTGCATTTAAATTCTTTTCCAAGTGAAAAAGTATAAAAAAATCAACATGATGAGAAGATCGGCTTTTTGACTTTTGCAATTAAGCTACTGTTATTCCTAAATTTTGTTCTTCTTATGCTACTATATTTTGCAGGATAGTTCCAAACCTGGCTATTAGTAAGATTTTATCACGAGAAAACAACAAAGTTCGCATACTTCAGGTAGAGGCATAATTTTGTATTCATAATGTTCCCTTCTTATTATAGTTTTGATAGTTACAAAGTGCACGATTTGATGAAAGTGGACATTTCTTTTCGTTTGCTTAACTAGGATTAAGATTAGCTGAAATTATAAGCCAAAATTGAGCATGATAGATAAGAGAGTATACTAATAAATAATGCAAGCTTATGATGCTTAGTGCTTCAAAGATTTGAGCCTTGAACCTGTGGCCGTCACCTAGGATTAGGGATAAACAAAATTTGCTTTTCCATAACATCGTTATCAGATGAGAAACAGACATCTTATTTATAATGTTTCTTATGACCATTCTTTTGAGACAAGATGAGAATAGGAGGTGGACAGGGAAGCATAACTAGGTACCTGTCTTTTCTCTCTTTGAAAAATGACTTTCCTTTTAGAACACCTACTCTGATATGGGCCTTCATTTGACACCATAGTGATGGGCCTTTTATGGTGATTTTCTGCTTTTTCTTGTCCTTTCTTTTAGAGGTCACTTTTTTATAGTAGCCTGAGTTATTGTTAAAATCACTTAAGCAACCAACGAATTCTCTTCTTGCCTTGTTTGTTATGAAAGAAGTGAGCTTAGAAATTCTACTTTATGGGCAATAATCCAAACCATTAGGGCTGCACATGGGTCGGGTTGGGTGGGATGATTGATTTAAAGTACCTGACCCTTTTGTGCAGGTCGATGATTTTTTTGACCCAACTCAACCCATTAAATGCGTGAACCGCGGGTTATAAACGGGTTGGGTTGGGTACGGGTTCAATGTAAATCTGCGGGTAAAATAAATGATAATCATAAAATTATTTTTAAATAAAATACAACTCTTTAAGAGGATTAGTTAAAAAAATTAAATATACTTAAAATCTTAGTTATACAATAATTTTCACAAACTACAAATATATTTCAATGACAATATTAAAATTAAATTTCTTAACATATTCATTATTATCGTCATCATAATCATAGTCAACAATAAAAAATTAAATTTTCTGATAAAAAAGACGACCAGTAAAATTAAAAATACTTAGTAATATAATTATATAATATGTTTAATTTAAAGTACGATATACTCCAAAAGCAAAGGTAATATCTACTAAATATGTAAATAATTTAGTATTTATATTCAAAATTGCAAATCAAATTACTAAATATGTAAATAATTTAGTATTTATATTCAAAATTGCAAATCAAATCAAATCAACTAAATAATTCATAATTTATTTATGGGTTGGGTCGGGGTCTACGGGTTTATATAGTGAACTTGTGACCCAATCCAACCCGTGAATTATAAAGATGTCGCGCAACCCAGTCCATTATATCTTCAACCCCGCTTGGCTGGGTTGGACTGGGTTAGGTTGCTCGGGTTGAGTCGGGTTATAACGAGTCATAAGCAGCCCTAGTATTTTTACAACATACTTCCTAGGAAGTCAATGACTACAACAAACAAAATTTGTGAGCTTGAAACGATGTACAAACCCTAACAAACCAAAATATCTAAGTTCCAAGGAAGTAACTTCTCAACAAAGTTAGTTGCCAGGAAATTAGCATGTTTGAACCATAAAAAGCCAAAATTTCTTTCCCCTAATCCAACCTCTAGCTCTAAGATGATCTTCAAACATGAACCTTAGGATTCAGCAATGACTTCAGATAAAAGCACTAAACTATCTTCTACCACCATTTCACTAAAAGATCTTTAATTTTTCAAACCCCAACGCTCAAGTACCTCATCTCAAGTGGGAAATGGTTGAGCCTATTTGCAGAAGACTATGTTCTTTTTTTCATTTCTAGATAGAAACTGTAAAACATGTTAGTTAATTTTTTTTGCTTTATCATTTTTTACCTATCCATGTTCCTTTTATGTTTTTTCTTTTTCCCTTTAAAGGTAAAAACTTTAGGATTAGGAATAAGAATTATTTTTTAAAGTGTGTTGGCAATGGTGATGGTAGCCATGGGTTGTGGGCGGTGGAGGGATGTTCGGGCTGGTAACATTGGAGCCTACACATATGTATTACAGAATTATGACACAAAACTAGTAGCACTGCTTGTTAATTGTATTTGCAATTGCATCACTGCAAATTAATTGTCATGGGTTGTCCCTCCAATTCAAAACCAACATCCCTCATTAACTTTAAGATAAAAAACAACCCTTCATATGTATGTAATTTGTTGCACCTGATGTAACTTTAGAAAAAAAATTATAGTTAAATAGGTGACTAGAAAATAAGTAGAACTTAAATATAGTAATCAAATAAGTATGCTATCCAAGTCATGTGTTTTGTTCAGATACAATCTTTAGTGAGGGGTTAAAAACTAGACATGTTGTTCATGTGTAAGTTTATTATCCCAATATTTGGTCCTGTTCGGTTTCGTGTCAGTTAATGTCATTTCAAGCACTAGATACAACACAAATGTGATTCCTAAACTTGAATTGCCACCTCCAATGATGATGGCAGTCAGTAAAAGCTATTTAATGTTATGGGATTGTGATGATGGTGGCAGTGCATGATGATTTCAGTTGTATTGCCATCACTGATAACAGAGTAATATTAGCATTGGTAGCATGGTGGCAGCTACAACTTATGTTTCTTAATAGCCACTAGCTTATTATTGATTCCCTACCTGATGCCAACCTTGGTTGCTTTCGTGGATGTATTGAAATATTACTTAACTTCATAAGTTGCTGACAGTTCGAATAGTCAAATGACCATTTTTATCTGTAATAATAATATGTACTTTCCATTGTCAGCTATTTAACTTTTTTTTATTAATAATTGATGAATGGAAAACTCCGTTGATCAAAGGATGACCCTTTTACAGGAAGGATGCAAGGGTCTACTGTACATGGTACTTCATGCACGTGTTGTTCTAGATTTATGTGAACATCTTCAACAGGAGATCAGTTTTGAGCAAGTAGAAGGAGACTTTGACTCCTTCCAGGGAAAGTGGCTTCTAGAGCAATTAGGAAGTCATCACACATTACTGAAATATAGTGTTGAGTCAAAAATGCACAAAGATTTGATTCTTTCAGAAGCTATTATGGAGGAGGTAATATAGCTTGACATTTTTCAGGATTTTGGCACTCTACTTTGGATATTTAGGATACTGTTTCTGGAGACTTTGACTCCTTCCAGGGAAAGTGGCTTCTAGAGCAATTAGGAAGTCATCACACATTACTGAAATATAGTGTTGAGTCAAAAATGCACAAAGATTTGATTCTTTCAGAAGCTATTATGGAGGAGGTAATATAGCTTGACATTTTTCAGGATTTTGGCACTCTACTTTGGATATTTAGGATACTGTTTCTATATGATGGCATGCACTTATAAATTCGAAGCTCCTGTATGGAAACTTTCCTGGTTGCTTCTAGGTCAAGTTTAGGCATTATGCAATTGAGTTTGCTTGATTTTCATTTCAAACATTTGCATGACAGTGGCACCTTGAATGATTCACATACGAAACTGCAGTCATTGACAAGCTATTTACATGATGAGACCTGATAAGCAGAAAGTTATTAAACGTTGAAATCATCAAGTGCCATTGAATAGAGTAGCACAGATGTTTAGTTACGAATTTGAGGTAGGAACTTTTTTTGCTTTTACCATCGAAATGCCAAATCTCATGCCATTAATCTTAATGTTTTTTGGCTGGAAGATTTTGTTCTGAATATAGTTATCATGACCTCTATTTGAATTTGATCTTGAAATTTGATATTCCGCTTTTAGGTTATATATGAAGATCTCCCATCAAATTTATGTGCAATTCGAGATTATATCGAGCAACAGGAAGCCGCAAATTCAATGGAAATTCATGAGCTCAAACAATATTCCCAGAAAATTGAATCAACTCATGGTGACGGAGACACCAAGTATAGGAGGGCAACTGAGAGAGTCATTGTTTCGAATAATCCAGATTCACTTAGACAGAGACCAAGAGTTCCTGGCTTGCAGAAGGACATTGAGATTCTCAAGTCTGAGCTCCTGAAATTCATATCAGAACATGGGCAGGAAGGATTTATGCCTATGAGAAAGCAACTCCGTAAGCATGGTAGGGTGGATATTGAAAAGGCTATAACACGCATGGGTGGGTTTAGAAAAATTGCATCATTGATGAATCTTTCTCTTGCATACAAGCGCCGAAAACCGAAAGGATACTGGGACAATCTTGAGAATTTGCAGGAAGAGGTAGCATTTTTGTTGTTGTTTTCTGGTCTTTTACAACTTTGTTAATATTGAATATTCTAATTACATGTTTTAGATGCATAATGAAGTTTTATGTTTGTCTTCAAGATAACTGTGTAGAGTAGATAATAATTTGCTAGAAGAACTCTTCTGCAAAAAATTTTCCCATTTAGAAGAAATAAACTTTTGGAGGGAGAAAGATTGAGGAAGTTTCTGAAAAAATAAAATAATGAACAAACTGCTTGAGATTTGGAGTATGCGTGATTAGGATTTCCTTTTTGATGCATGCACTGTAAGTGTTTGTATTTCCATGTACATTTGTGTGTCAGTCATGAACCTTACAGAGAATGGTTTTTGCATATCTTTGCACATGATGATAAGTACTTTGGTGTAGGATAATTTTATTCAGTGTATTCAGTAAATTTTTTAGTGACTTCTTGCTCAAAAGACCATGTCACCATTTTCTCTTTTTACTTGCACTAGATTTCCTAGAATGAATCGGATTTATCTGAAAATCTGTCATCCCTCTGAGCTCATATAAAAGGGTGATTCAACATACGAGACACCTCACATTTTGTGTGCTCGGGAGAAGAGTTGATATAAGCAACTTTGCCTCTATATTTTTGCTGAGGAGCTGAGTAATTTTACTCTCATACCAAAGCCATCCTCTGATCTCATCTATGGCGCTAATTATCTGGTTGTTATGATGATATTTTGTTGAAATTGATTAATGCACGCCTACTAAACATGCTTTTCCATGAAAACAGATTAGTCGATTTCAGCGGAACTGGGGAATGGATCCTTCATATATGCCAAGCAGAAAATCTTTTGAGCGTGCTGGTAACTTCTGAGCTGTTTGGACTAGAATTTTAGATCTGTAATAGCATTTTTCATTTATTTTTTAAATTGTTGCTTGAACAAAAAAAATGGCAGGGCGATATGACATTGCGCGAGCATTAGAGAAATGGGGTGGACTTCATGAAGTTTCTCGTCTTCTATCAATAAAGGTGAGGCACCCTAATCGGCAGGCAAATGTTACCAAGGATAAGAAGCTTAGTGTGCAAGGGGAAGAAACCAGTCCTTCCAAAACTTCTGTACCACAAGATACGCAAAAATGGATTGAGAAATTGAATGATTTAGACATTAACTGGGTTGAATGAGAATGTTAAGTAGTTGCCTTCCATAATCTCTCTCTCTCTCTCTCTCCCCTTGTTTGGTACAAAAGAATTTTGATTTATAGAATTTATTTTTAAAGATAGATGTTGGTTTAGTTAATATTTTCATAATATTGAACTCGTAGAAGTACTCAGATAACTATTTTAATTGGTATCAACAAAAAGAAATTTGAAGTCACAAGTGAATCTTATAATTTTATATGTATATATGTAGGAATGGGGAGGGAGACATTGGGATTTGCAGTACAAAATTTATAAAATTGACTAAATTTATAAAGATTTAATTTTATTGGTTGAAAAATACAAGTATTTTAATTTGACTGTTTGTAATAATTTTCTATTTAAATTTAAATTTATTGGCTAAAAAATAAAATAAATTTTAATAGTGTACAATAATTATAAATGTGGAAAATATAGTACAATTCCTAATTAAAAAGTTTTACGCTAATTAAAAATTTTCAAAATAATGTCTTATTGTAGAAGTTTTGTCATATTTTAATTAGAAATTATAATCTTATGTAAAAATTGTCTTATCTTAATTAAGAATGGTATATATATAATTTATTTTTATTTATGCAAGTTTTATTTAATTTCGTCATCAAAAGTTTTATTACTTTTGTCTTGAAGGATTCGCTGGCAAAAATTAGAATACTAATTGTTATTATTGCGTCGAATGTTGATGTATCAATATGTCATTTGTTATCGATTGTAATTAAACTTTTAAATTCCCTAAATTTTAACGGCGTAATTTAATAAATGTCATATATTTGGTTTCAATTTTAACAAAATGTAAAAAAAATGATATTTATTAAGATAATAACAAATTCGATCGAAAAAAATTTTAATAATACCAAAATGACCTCACAAGAGAGAAAAGGAAAACACTGAAAAAAAAAAAAAAAGAAAACATTGAAAAAGAAAATATTGAAAAAATGAAAAACTAAAAAAAGGAAACATGAAATTTGTAAGAGCAAATCTTTATACAGCTTACATAATTCAACCACGACGATGAAACCAATAAATACATTGAATTAAAATCAAGTTAATACGATGTATATTTATATATCATGTACCAGTATTAATTTAAACAGAATTGAGAGTCCTATCTTGTCTCTTCAGAGCATAAACAACATCCATGGCGGTAACAGTTTTCTGGTGAGAATTAAACCGCTGATATGCAAACAAAAACGAAATTGCAGAAGAGAAACAAAATTAAAAAAAAAAAAGAAACAGTAGAAGAACATCATAGAATCGCAGTCAATACAAATGGAAAAGAAGACAATAAAAACAGAAACAAAGTATTAGAAAAACAGAAACGAAATCGATTTTCCAACGAAGACTTTGACACCAATCCCGCATGTGATGGCAATGGAGATAGAGTTCACAAAAAAGAAGAAGAAGAAGAAGAAGAAGAAGAAGAAGAAGATCACTCTATTAACGGAAACACTAAAAAAGAAACACTATAAAAATGAAATACTAAAGAAAAGGAAACACTGAAATATTAAAAAATGTAGCGTCCTAACAAAAAAGGGCACAATAGTAAATGTATACCGTAAATGACAATAATTTAAACCTCAAAGTCAAATTGACATTTTTTAAAAATAAGTTTCAAAAACCAACATTTAGTACAATATCTTAACTTAATTTGTGTTTATATATGAGCCAAACTAGTACTAGAGCCTAAGTAGTCTTAAGGTCACCGAAATCCGTAGTGAGCTTGAAACATAGTTTGTTCATCATTAAGCCTATTATAGAAAATAGAAAGGCGAGCCTTTTATGAACATGTACCTGGCAAACTCAATATACCTACAATTGATTAAACATCTTTCCAAGGCTCAATTCATTTATAAATATTTATTCGTCATTCATTGATTTGCATAGACCTGTGTATTTCAGGGTGCACACCACTACTGTTGACCTCATGCCACAGAGGTGCAGAAGCCCCCTATTTGGTTGATCCTAGGTTCCCCTCACAACCAAACCCAAAAATGGTGCTTTAAACACTGAAAAGGTAAAGAAGAAGATGAAGAAAGCGTTTAAAGGTCCTCAGGAACTACCTTTTGTGATTTCTTTGACGATTTGCTCAAAAATGGATGAAGGGAAACCCAACACTTCATCCTTGATCCAAAATCTGAGATTTGAGATTAGAGTTTATGTTTTTAAGATTCTGATTGTCTACAGGGGGTTTTTGATTGATTAACAACAAGTTCTCAACTCAAAGCCAAGGTTTCATCAAGTTGCCTTTAGATTTCTTGGTTGAGTTTTCAAAGTGCAAGAGTTTCCCCTTGTTTCCAAAAGAATCTCCCTTTTAACACACGTCCCAATTCCTATTTATAGGCAAATGAGGGTGGGTGGCCTTATTTTAGGGCTGGCGTGGCAAAAATACCACTGTCGAGCCCCACAATAGGATCGGGCCCACTTTTACAAAATTAGATGGAGTGGCATACAAAACAAGGCGGTGCATCGGGAAGTGTGTCTCGTGGGCTCGAGGCCCTTCTCGAGCCGGGTTTCGTCGCGAAACGCCCCATAACCTGAAAAAGTAAAAATGGTTAAACACATCGGTAATCTCAACTACGGACCATTGATCTAAAAGCTAGGGCGATCGGGAACCCCGATCCAATTTTACAGAAAAAAATGATGTATTATCACTGAACCTTTTTAAGACAAAATTTAAGCGTCTACACCTGCTAAAACCATCAACAATAGAAAAATAATTACGAAAACTTGTACATGAAGCAATAGGTGAAGGCCCCATAGATCAAGATGTATTATTTCCAAGCATGAGATACGAAATACATTCGGTTTTAGAAAGAAAGACGACTAGGTTTGCCTAGGACAAGTGTGACACATATGACATGAGTTTTGAGTACATGTAGGTATTGAAAAATGATGAAAAATAGTTTTAAGAATAGCATGGGAAGGGTGTCCAAAGTGAGCATGCCAATTTATTCGGGCTAGATTTAACTCCAAGGGAAGCGAATATGATGAGAATATGATATAGGCCATACAAGCTAGAACCAATCATAAAGATGTGACCCATGTGATGTTCCTTAACAATAAAGCAATCGAAAAACATTAGAAATTAGCAATTATTATCACGGCAGAAGCGACAGATGGAGATAAGATTTTTTTTAATAGCTGAAACTAATAAAACATGATTTAGATGAAAATGATTATTCTGAAATTGGAAATTCACTTTACTAGTATGTGAGATAAGTAATTTTTGACCATCAACAATAAGAATGGAGTCATTACCAGAATAATGTTGAGGATCAGAAAGATTGTCAAGTTAGGATGTCAAATGATGAGATGATCTGGAGTCAAGACACCAAAAAGAGTTATGAGGTGATGATGTAGCTTTCGCAGTGTAAGCATAATTCCTTCATTGTGGGCATTGTCGAGCTGTAGGGCGATTGCATAATTGACAAATGACCATGGGATTAATTGAGGGTCGTGTTGGTAAGAGAGAAGGTAGAGATGTAGCTGGTGTGTAAGGCCTGGGTGTGTATTTAGGAGGATGATAATTTGAAGTATGAGATCGATTGCCACGATAATTTTTCCCTCTTGACTGATGAAAGGAACCACGTCTGTAACATCCCTTCCCGGTCCACCCGTAAACCCGAATAAACCGAGTCGAGACGTTACAAACTGGTTGACTGTATGGCCTGACATGCTGAAGTCATGATGAAGGAAACCACGTCTGTAACATCCCTTCCCGGTCCACCGTAAACCCGAATAAACCGAGTGAGACGTACAAACTGGTTGACTGTATGGCCTGACATGCTGAAGTCATAATGTATATTGAATATAATATCATGCTGATGTTGTTTACAATAATAATGTAATATTATATTTTACAAAAACCATGATACCTAGTGGTCAAAATGAAAATGGGCCCAACTGTGTGCCTGTACATGCCATAAAAAGGGTAGACAAAAAAATACATATCCAAATGAGTAGCTACCCTGAATACTGAGTCTTCTACAGATGAACTGCAGCAGTTGCAGGCTGACTCTCTACGGTCCAATCTCAAAACCTGCGAGTTAAACAGGTAACTCGCTGAGCAATAAAGCTCAGTGGATATCTCAACACATAAAGAAACAGTTAAGCACATACATAGATAAAATGAGCATGTAAATGCATATGGATAACTAAACATATAAGCACATATAGCATGATCCTTTCCTTATACCTTGATTATCTTTCGTACTGGGTGATAAGACTGTATGATTCATGAAATGTTATGTCAAGATGTATGGCTCATAAGGTTATAGGTGAAAACCGAAGTGATAAGAATACTGTATGAAAATGAATGAACTACTGTATGCTTGGCTGCCTATGGCCATATATAATCATATCCCTCAACCGGCCCTGTAGCCGGAGTATCAACTGGTTGGGGGGGGGTGCAGATCTGCTATCCTAATGTCGCGACATAGCCTTATCTACATGGTTTCTACCTAACCTCCATGAGCATAATGTTGGTATGTCAATAATATAACACAACATCATATTCATAGTTCATAACTTCATAAATCATAATGTTTATTTGATTTCACATCATTTGCGTGCTTGCATGTTGTTTTAATACATAATTTAATGTTGTATTTTGGTATTAAGATGATTGGAGGCATATAAGTGAAGCAAAGGAATACAATTGCATTGAAAAAGAAGTCCAAAGGTGCATGAAAACACAAGTCGCGAGCGCGCCTTGCAAGGTCGCGAGCGCGTAAAGTACCAGATGAGAGACAGTGAGTTATCGGGCACAAGTCGCGAGCGCGTCGCGAGCGCGTAGAGTGCAAAAATGAGGAGACAGTGAGTTCCCTAGGCCAAATTCGCGAGCTGCGCGATGAAAGGTCGCGAGCGCTTACAGGCCAAGGGCCTAAGTACGCGAGCGCCGCACTTGAAAGTCGCGAGGCGCGAGAAGTGCAATGAGAGTCAGATGAGTTTTAGGTAAAAGTCGCGAGCAGCGCATTTGAAAGTCGGCGAGCGCGAAGAAGGCAAACGCGAGCTTCGTCCATTGCGAATTCGCGCGCGCGCTTCGGCCGTTTTCCAGTCTGCAGACAGTCTGTACTCTTTTGGCAAT